CTGTGCGAGCTGCACTTGCTGACGTAAAATGGTTTCCTCACAAATCAGTCCATAAGACAGTGATTACATGGCACTAATGCAACCGGAAACCAGAAGTCACCGAGCATATAATAAGTTAGTGTGTACAGAAATGACCAGTGCAGCAGCTACCATGAGATGCTGAAAACTAACGTAAAAGTCAAGCTGCAGTCGTTCAATTGCCGATATAAATCTACTAAGTTTCAAGTCGACAAGTTTAAATGTCTAGAACTATCTGAAGTATATCAGATCAAAAGATTCATGATCCATCAAAAGATTCATCCCCCCCAAAAGATTCATGCATCCTATTGATTACTCAGATAGCATAACAGTGGAGAAAGCTTGAAACATACATTAAGAAGCAGTAGCAACAACGGCAGAGCAGCAGCTGGAACGAAGAAATGATAAAGTGAAGCCATGGATAAGTTTGAAAGTAAACGATGCAGGCCTGCCAAGGTTGACAACAGACAAATTTTCAGAAGAGAAAGCAGTGCAGAAAGAAACTAAAAATTCATTAAGGCAAGAAAAGGCAATTCCATGAGAGAGGCAACTAAGGCAATGAAAAATGCTGCTAGAAAACCGATCGAATACCTTATTTAAGGAAGTACATGGCAACTTCAACAAAAAACGTCGGATTTCACTTCCTATTTGACAATATTCGTGCAGATACGGGAAACACTGATCGTTACTTAACTACGGTAAGACTGTGAAATACGATTCACTATGTAATACGGCGGCTGCACACCAACGCTACTGCAGATTTCTGTACTCTGAACCACGTCGAGACGTGTAAGGCCAGCGACTCGTGTTAGAATGCCTATTTCAGCCGCTTATACCCAGGATCGAAGCTTTTCAATCATGATCCATGATTCACCACCGTAGGTAAGCATGGGGATAAGGATCGACTTGAATACCGAGTGCTTAGTCTTCAGACATAGCTCCACTTTAGTCAGAATGGATCAGGCTAGTTCACACAGAACACCACTGGCTACTCCACTTCGTCGGTCGATCTCTTCCTCCAATTTTCCATCACTAGTAAATACAATTCCGAGGTACTTGAACTTCTCCACCT